CGGAACGAAGTTACGGAAAGTTAATTAACAAACGGAGATGTAACAGTTGGAATAATTTGTAGTATTTACAATGATGGCTTCTTAAGATGCAATTCATTAGAGTTTTTACATTAAAATGTTGCTAAATCACAATGATGAAAAGATTAACCAGTGACAGTTCTTATTAAAGAAATACAGAATATAAATAAACTCTTATAAATGGTACTGTATTTAATGAACAAAAATTGTCAAGAAGGAAAGGTTCTTGAAGAAATTTCTCAAATTACTTTTATAAAAAATTATCACCACAAATAAACTACATAGTAGAGAAATTATATATTGACATAAAAACCTGAAAAAACATAAGTTAAGAATATTATATTTAGTCAAAAATAAAAAATAAATATATAATTGCATTCTTGCAATTTCATTAAATATATTTTAAAATTACAAAATTATTTTAATCAAATATAAATTCACCCCTCTTTTTTCCAGCCACATTGGCCATTCTTTTCCAAGGTGGGTGTATTGGCCAGACTTGAACAAGAACCTAGGAATGAACTGCTGCAAGAGATAGGTTGCTGTTTCAAGTCCATAGTCAGTTGACCAGGTCGTTTCCTAGGACTTGTTTGAAGGTTACTTGTTGTTCCCAGACCAGAATCTTCACTTCTTTGGACTGGACACTCTTTTGGAATTAAAATGTCTTCTACAAAAAAATTAACATAGAATTCATGTCATTTTTACAATCATGGCAATTTATATATAATTCGACAATAAAACTTTTTTAACAAAAGACCAGCTATAATAATTTAAAATGAATTTTTAAAAAAATCTCGAAATTGACATGGACCTTGTTAAGTCAAACGAGAAAGTATATACATCCATCAACTGAATTTTCTTTTTGAAACAACTAAGTGAAAAACATAGAGTTATTAATGTGGTTCTGAAATACTCTATTGTTTTGATATAAATAGTGAGAGTTGTACATTCACTTAGAAATATGTTTTAAAACCTTAATAGCTATAATAATTTATAAAACAATTGTTGTTTTTTTGCATAGAATAGGAATTTAAACTTTCAACTGTATTAAATGCTTTTTTTTTCTTTCTGAAACATGGACCAAATTTATCTTGGGAAGCCTGACTAACTCTATCTACCAAATTTCTTACCTTGCTTGGCTAGATGGGTAGTTGTCACATCTATGTTCTTTCCAGGCATATTAATTGAACTGGTGGAAATATGTACAGAAGAATCATTCCTCACCAGATGATGTTCTTCAGGGGATTTGGATGCTTTCAATGGTTTTCGAAGTGACTGAGGTGAATCTGCCCAACTATAGAAAAATAAAAATATATAGACTGGTTGTTAACAACTCGGAAGGTGATTACTAACAAGTTGCCCCCCAGTGGCACAGCAGTATGTCTGCAGACTTACAATGCTAGAAACCAGGTTTTGATACCCATCGTGGGCAGAGCACAGATAGCCCATTGTGTAGCTTTGTGTTTAATTACAAACAAATATTAACAAGTTGCACATATTACAGCTAATTGTGCACCAGTTAATTCACCAGTGAATTTTTACTTGAAAAAAAAAGACAAACAATGAGGTGCATGATATGCTCTCTAGTCTCACTGATGACTAAAAATGGTCCGGGTAAAATGTTTTTACACTGGCCCTCCAATGGGATCAGTGAAGATGGATTCCTGAAAAAATCAGTGGGGTGATGCAGCTAATAGTGTATAGCCTACAATATATCTAGTATTATTCATATAGTTCACAAATTAAACAAAAATACACATTTAAGATTAAATTTTGTTTGCCTACTATTATTATGCTCATCAGCTGTTACCTGGAAAAAGAAAATAGTATAAAAAAAATCTAATTTTTTCAATGGAATTTTCTCAATGTCCCAACAGTCTAATCCATCCCTGGTGTGAGAAAATCAAACTGAAATAGGCTGTACAAAAAATCCCTTGTACACAAGACATGGAGGTTTATTGGGCAGTGTGCTATCCCTCTCTAGGTAAGGATGGCACAGATGCCCTTATTAAGGCAATACAAATGTCATCTGGATTTTCTTCTCTACAGGTCATCAGAAGCTAGATATGAAGAGCTACCTGACATAGTAGCTCTGTCTCCATGTATATTGCTGCTTTTCAATTATCCAGAGCATCCCAAAGTCGAAAACTGGCAAACAGCCAAAACTGAGATTTCTTATTTTTGTTCATCATCATCATCTTTCCTCAACAGGCCTAGTGCTTAACTAGTTCTAGCAGTAACTATAATTTTATCATCATTTGATAGAGTAAAACAGTCTTCATGATCTTTGACAACCTATTTTTATCATTATTCTATGTAAAATTTATAAACCTTTATATTAGGTCGTCAAGAAATTAATGTTGCTTTTTAGAACACTTTCATTAACCACCCCTCAAAAAACTTACATCGCGTATAATAGTTAAACGAACCGCCTAAACGTCACGTTAGTGCTGCCGATATAATGTGTGAAAGTTAGTATATTCTAATCCAG